CGATTAGACGGCATCTCGTCGACCGGGGGTTTTCGCAACCTTCCCACAGCATAAGCGATCAGCCCCCCACGCATACTCATACGAATTTGGATAATATACACTTTTTTTGATTCTTGCGGTCAAGGCCTTTAAAGGCTGTCCTCCCCTCTTTTCCATCAATCTCGAGCCCTTTGTTTCTTGTCCTTCTTCTATGTATTCCATCAGGTGGTTATCCTAGTGCAGGCATACCGCAGTGGTTACTCCCGCCACTTAAAGCCATACAACATTTCTAACTAGTATTCCCCCTTTTTTTTCTTTGCAACAGCACACTCAAACACGACCGTTGATGCTTGATTTTATGAAAAGCTTCAACCAGGGTTGGTATCTTACCACTCTCCTGTCGATTTTGTGTGCCCTGGGCACGTTTATCATTTTTCTTGATGATATATATGATTTCGTGTTCCCCAGGTGGTTCACCAGACGTTTCCCATTCCAGTTGAAGGAAAACTATCTGTTTATGAACGGGTCTCTAGCCTTCAGTTCTGGATGTTTGCTTTTCACCGCGTTGTATAGGCTCTTGCCCGAGGCAATGGAGAACCTCATCCCAAGTGATGACTCGAGTGATGTGTCACAGAGGGAGATCAACACGGTCTTGATCACGTCTTTTGTTGCTGGAATTGCTGCATGCTACGTTTTCAATCAAATACTACACCTCATTACTGCCGAATCGGTCGTTCATTGTTCCCACGATGGTGAGGATAAGATTGAGACGCTCCCCTACTCTGAGCTCGTGCCACGCCGAGACAGCCACGATCACGGACACAGTCACGGTCATACCGATCTCGAGGAACAACATGATACCCATAGTCATAGTCATAGCCACCACGAGGTGAGCCAAGCAGATGTTTCTGAGTTCGGACCGGCTACAGCTGAAGATTTAGAGAGTGCTCCTCTTTTGGGCCACCGCAAGTCTCAGGGTCTCCTCCACTACTTTGCCCAGACAGAGCAAGACGACCAGTTGCTCGGAGAATGTAAAGGTTACACTTCGGCGGAGCTCTGCCTCCACGATCATGGAAAGACCAAGCCACACTTCTGCGAGATTCCTACAATCCGCAAGAACGAAGGAGAGGAGAGTCTGGCGCTGGCGCTGGGGCAATCTGAAGAGGACCACCACCATGATCAGCATGTCCACAACCACAACCACAACCATCACCACGAGCACGAGCACGAGCACAATCATAACCACAGCTTATCATTTGCAAGATCTGCGCTGGAGGTCCATTCCCAGCACGGTCGTTCCGAACATCACCATCACCACGTCAACTCGCCCCTTTCTCGTCTCATGCTCATTGGTGTCCAAACAATTCTCGCCATTACTTTGCATAAATTCCCTGAGGGCTTTATCACTTACATCACCTCCGAAACAGACCCGGAGCTTGGTGTTTCCATTTTCCTCAGTCTTTTGATTCACAATTTTACCGAAGGGTTCTCGATGTGCTTGCCATTGTACTACTCATTTGCATCTGGCAAAGCTCGTTGGGCTAAGGTCAAGGCAGTCAGCATCAGTGCTATCTTGGGTGGTCTTTCGCAGCCACTCGGTGCACTTGGTGGTTTCATTTTTTTGAGGGCCAATCATGCTGGCAACTCCGAAATCGACATTGACAAGCTCAATTTCATCTTTGGCATTACCATGGCCATTACATCGGGCTTTCTTTCGGTGATCGCCTTATCTATGTATGGCTCGGCCGTGTCCTTCAGTGGGTCACCCAACTTTGTGATGATTTGGTGCATAATTGGTATGTGTATAATAGGCGGTCTGTCGCTCATTTTGGCCAGCGACTAATCATAAATTACATAGACTACGTTGATATTCATAATTTGTTCTACTTACCCGAATTGAAATGTATGCTGGTTGCGATAAGCCTGTCATAGGCCACTGGTGCGCGCACACCTATCTAATTTCTTTTTCTCTCGGTCCCTCAAAAAAAAAAAACCACCTCCTAACCACTTTATTAACCCCGACTTTCTCGAATTTGCTAGTTTGAATGGGTCTTATTCTTTAGTATCTACAAGAAACACAATTTAGAATATGATGGCTCACGAAACACCGTTAGATCTACCTAAGGGCCATACGGTCCCAAAGTCGTCCAAAGGAAAGAATGCTGGCTCAAGAAAGTTGCCCAATGGCGCCAAACCGGATTTTGGACCTGGAGGCGAGAAGAGCGAGAAGGCTGGACAGCAGAATAAACAGAAGAAGGCACCTTCACTTCCAAATGGAGAGAAACCTAACTTCCACAACGACAAACCGGAGAAGCAGAACAAGAACGCGAAGAAGAAGGACAAGAAAGAACAGGCTAAGCCAGTTGAGAGCGATAAGAAGCCAAAGGCTAAGAAGAGCCAGAAAGAAGAAGGTTACGCTGGGTCGTCCTTCCACTCCTCTCCTGAAGCTTTGGCGTTGCCTAAACCTTCTTTCAAGACGTCTCCTAAACCTAGAGCTACTGACGCAACTCCCGTCCAGAATGCTCAAACTATGTCGAATGGCCAACCAAGTGGTCCTAGTGCGCAGTATGGCCAGCCCATCCAAGGCCCCGTTCGTCAGTCTCCTATGCAACAGATGCCTCAGAGACCAATGGCGATGAACGGTCAGTTTATTTACCAGGGTATGCCCCCTCAAGGACCTCCCCAGTTTCCAGTCGTTTCCCACCCTCAGGATGCTCCTTCAGGACCTTATCAGCCTGGCTTCAACTACACAGTCAATCCTCAGGGCTTTATCAATTACCAGTACCCTCCAGGCGCTGTTCCACCTCAACACCTTGGTGTCAGCCCATTCAGTTATCAACCTCAATTTCAACCACAGCCACAAATGGCCCCGGGCAACAATCCTAACGGTGGCCAACCCCAGGCTGGACACAAGATTACGTTTAATGAGTTGATGGGCTCCTCAAAGTAAGAGGCTGTCTGATTTTATCATTCTTGTTTGTTTATGTGCTTGTTTTCATGATCATTACCGCTTTCATGCCGCTCCTTGTCACGAGTCCCCCGTTACGTTGTATCATACATGGCCTCGGGGAGCGGCACTAACGCTTACGACTACAAGAGCACGTTTATGGGGTTGTGGGAGACCTCTTTTTTGTCTTCCTTTTTTCCCCTCCATTTTAGCTCTTCAATTTTTTTTTTTTTTTTTTTTACTTTTTTTATGTCATGTACCAAATAAAGTTTGACGTGTATGTGCTGACGAATGTAAGGGCAGTAACGCCGCATGGACTCTTTTCCATGACTCAGCTTTTTTTGCCTCTCCCAATCCAGCAAGTGCTAGTCTTTACCAAGTACCTCGGCAATTCTGAGGCGTCCTTGCCAGCTCATCTCCAGTGTGACCAGAGCTCGTACTCATGCGGCCAATCGTTACCAGTGAACTGATCACTATCTCTAGCCGCATATGTTTCGAAAGCTGTCAAATCTAAGCCATTTGAATAACATCCCTCTGACAAAGGCGAGCCCCTCCTATGAAGGCCTCGCCTCATCCTGATTGTAGGCTAAGTGCAATCCCTTTTAGCGAGAAAAGCATCTTTGTGTTCTCAATCGGGAAACAATGGCTGGAAACAATGGCTCCCTGCCCCATCGCCAGAAGGAATGCGATTTCGCAATTTCTCATCTTCCTGCAACTCTTCTTCTCCAATGCAAGGCAAAGAGATCAGAATCATCGCCCTCTTGGTGTTGGACACCGTTTTCCTTATATTGGAGGCCGGTGTGGGCTACACCGTCAAGTCTTTGGCCCTTGTGGCTGATGCATTCCACATGCTTAACGATATCATTTCCCTTGCCGTGGCACTTTGGGCTGTCAAGGTGAAGAAGCTGAAGCCAGCCGACGGTTCTTACACCTATGGCTGGCAGCGTGCTGAGATCTTGGGTGCTTTGATCAATGCTGTCTTTCTTTTGGCCTTGTGTTTCACCATTATCATCGAGGCTATCCAACGTTTCTTTGACCCTCCAGAGATCTCCTCACCCAAGCTTGTTTTGCTTGTCGGCTGTGCCGGTTTGATCAGTAACTTTGTTGGTTTGGCTTTGTTCCACGAGCACGGTCACTCCCACGGTGGTGGCGGTCACTCCCATGGCGGTGGTGGCCACTCTCACTCTCATGGTGATGATGAGGAAACCGTTGGTGGCGCTGGTGAAGATACCCCAACTTCGAACCTTTCTGACTTCTTCCCAGACAATGTGGTTGAGCGTTTCAATGAACTGACTCCTTTGGTGAAGAAGGACACCAAGCCTGCGAAGAAGAAGTCCATGAACATGGAAGGTGTGTTTTTGCATGTTTTGGGTGACGCTTTGGGCAATGTTGGTGTGATCATCACTGCCTTGTTCATCTGGAAGACCGAGTACTCGTGGCGTTTCTACTCTGACCCTGTGGTCTCTCTTGTCATTACCGCTATCATCTTCTCGTCTGCCTTGCCTCTTTGCAGAAAGTCGTGCAAGATTTTGTTGCAAGCTACCCCACCCAGCTTGGACCCCAACGTGATTGCTGAGGAGATCACTCTCTTGCCAACCATCAAGTCGATCCACGACTTCCACATCTGGAACTTGAACGAGGACTTTATGGTTGCCTCGTTGCACCTCGAGCTCAATGAGCTGCCAGAGACTGGTGTCCAGGACCAGAAGGGCGAAGGTATTATCAACAAGAACGCCTTTGTTGAGACTGTCGCCCAGGTGAGACGCCTCTTGCACAAGTACGGCGTTGACTCCGTCACCATCCAGCCAGAGTTCCCCAAGCAGATCCAGAGACAGCTGAGCACACTCTACGGTACTACCAAGACCAGCGCCTCGTGCACGTAAAAGTCCAAAACATGCCTGATATTTAGATATGGTACAAACTATAAACGAAAAGAAATTATTAAACCCGACCCAGAAGTAAGGCGGCCTTATCTAGAGGCGACGCCGGCTCAAAGCTGACCGGCGAACAATCAGTCGATGTGCCGTGCCAACTCTCAATGCAAGAAGTGAATGTGTGCTTTTATCAAGAGTGCTTAACGAACAAAGTCCTTGATGTAGACCGTCTTGTAAGGCACCTTCTTGACATTGTACTTGTTCTTTTTCCTCTTCTGGTCGTCGAAAGACTCATACCGCAGCTTGCTCTTGCTCTTGAAGAAAGAGAAGCCAGATGTCGTCAGGTCAGTGGAGTAGACAGACTCGTTGTCGTTGACAACAGGTCTAGAGTACACCAGGGCAGCGTAGCCCACAGGAGGCTGTTTGCTCTGTCTTCTGACATCTGAGGCAGACACACGGCTGGTGGTGTTGATGGTGGAAACCTCGTAAGCAGAGGAGCTCACCGAACTGCGTCTAGCGTCAAACCTAGGCTGGCTAGGCGTAGGGGCCTTGGATGGCTTTCTGTTAGGAGCAACGTGCGTCACAGGAGGAGGAACCTCCTTGGTGGTGCCCTTGGTGGATGGTGGAAGAGGTGCATGGATAGGTGCCAGGATCTTGGCTGGAGTAGGCTTTGGCTTCTGCTCCTTGGTGCCGAAAAACGATCCAAGCTTAGCACGGAATCCCTTCTTCTCCTTCTTCTCCTTCTTGTTGGCAGCTGGAGCCGTCTTTGGAGCAGCAGGTGCTTCCTTCTTGAATGGCTGAGCTGGTGGCTGCAAAGGCAAGGACGAAACACTGCGAGAAGATGTAAGTTTGGCCAAAGATGGTGGAGCAAGAGGCTCACGGGTCTCGGGGAAGGCAGACTCGGTCAAAGACACATTCAGCAAAGAAACATTCTCTGGGTGGTTGTAGCCCAACTCCTCCATCTCCTTCTTGAGCACAAAGGAAGAGCGCATGAAGCCCATAGAGGCCCTCTTGCCTGGAGTGTACATCGATCTGGTCGACAAGGAAGGAGTGGAGCCAAAGCTACGGTGCATCATGGGGAAAGCCGTGGAAGATGGAGCAGGCAACAGTTGCATGAAGCTAATGTCGCTCAGCTGGGACATCTTGGTGTTGTGGTTGCGGAAACCAGCGTAGTTCTTGGCCACATCTGGGGAGTAGCCCGAGCCAGACGAGATGGACGACTTGTAGTCCAGGTTGTGCAAGGAAAGCGACGACGTTCTGGAAGAACCGTCCTTGTTGGAGCTGTCGTAGTCCGAGGTCTCCTCGTCAATCTCAGTCTCGGCAATTGGCGCAAGACCCTTGATACCGAAGCTGTTGCTGTCAAACACCTGGTTCAGACGCTTGTGAGAGTACTCCTCATGAGGAGCCAAGTCAAACTCGTCCTCCACATCGGAAATAGGGCTTTCGCAAGAGCTTCCCGACCACAGGCGCTGGGCCTCCTGCTCCATAGAAGCACCGAGGTCAGACAGGGTTCTGCGGTGGTGAGAAGAACGGCGTGGGTCGAAAGGTGCCGTCTTGCTCTTCACCTCAAAGTCGTCAGTGTCGAGACCAAGACCAAGCTCTTGAAGCTGAGCGGCAGAATCTCTTCTGGACGATCTTGGAGTCAAAACTGGCTCCTCCTCTCTTCTCTTGGCTCTAGGGTCAAATGGAGCCTCTGGGGCCTTGACCTTAGGCTTCTGAGTCTGCTTGGTAGCCTGAGGAACCTTAGTAGCAGGTTGCTTGACAAAAGTAGCAGGAACCTTCACCTGGACAGGGTCCTGTGGGCTCTCAGTGACAGAGCGGCGGAATCCACGGTACTGCTCCTTCTGGAGGTTGATCTGGATAGTAGAGCCAGCCTTCTCCTCAAGACGAGGAAGTGGGCTGCTCTTGAAAGTTGGCGTTTCGGGCTCAGCAGCCTCCTGAGGCTGAGGAGACTCCACCTGCTTTGGGGTCTCAGGAGCAGCTCTGGAAGGAGCTCTGGCGGGCACCTTCAATGGAGCAGTCTCCTCAATCAGCTCAGTCTCAGAGGCAGAAGAGCGCTCAGCACCCTGGGAGATCAACAGCTCAACATCCAGTTCTTCGTTCTGCAAAATACAGTTGGCAATGTAAATGTACGTTTGCACCCACAAGGTTTCCAAGCCAGCGTGGAATTGTGGGCCAAGCGTCTGGCGCAAGTACTGGATCAAAACGGCACCCATTGGTTCCAAGTAACGGACGCCGCAGCGAACAATGTGGGGGTTTTCCTTGATGAACTCGTTCATACACTCGTCCAAAACGGTGATGTTGTGGAGGTACATCATGGTGAAAGCCATAATCTCAGAAAAGAGCTTTTCCTGCTGGGCTCTCACCTTCTTGTTCTCAAACAAGTCTCTGGCGTCCTCGCTCTGCTCAATAAGGGAAGAGAACATCTCGTGGATCACCTGCTCGGTTTTGTAGTCCTTGGCCGCCATGGCATCGCCCCACAGGGCTCTGACCTTGTTGCGGTCGGCGGTAGAAAGCTGTAGAGTAGCCATCGTAATTAGAAGGTCGTTTCTGCGTTTGGCTGCGAAAACGGAGGGTATAAGACCAAAGGTTCGAAAAGAAAATAGGTGTTTTGGAAATCCCCTGGAGCAGAAGGTGCCATTCTTATATAACACAGGCGAGGATTACGCCGCTTCTCCACAATGGATCGTTGGTGACTTACCAGATGGGGGCAAAACGGGTATGTGCTTTTTGCCCATCAAGGAATCGCTCGCTGTGACAGGAGTGCGGTGGACTATTACTATTCCGCATCGGGAAGTTTGTGCTAAGGTCTATGCACACCGCACCCTTCCACGCAGCACTCATTTCCTCTTGCGGTAACATGACTGCGGCGGGACCCTTCAGCTTATGCTATACTGGGTAATCTCTGGGGGGTTAGTTCCCAGCAAAAGGGCCAAATTTGCGTCCACCACCGCGCCTTTGGGCTCCAGCCGAATAATGGCAAAGCTGTCGTTCAAAGAGTCACGCTCTTTGTATTGATAAGACTTTACAATATAGGGGTGTCGTGGACAAAGCTGTCATGTCACTCCGCACGTCCCCTGCTATTACAAGACCTAGGTTGACAACGCTTAAGTAGGAAATGTAGTGAGACACCCCCTGATGCCGAGTCAAACTTGGGCGTGAATACGGGATTCACGGTGGGTGAAATTAATTACTCGAGTCAGCTTAAGACCGATATGGAGGCTATTATTCGGCAGATGCACTAAACGACAATTAAACTCTATTTTATTGCAGTTACCCAAATTGTCAGGAGCTCATAGGGGCTTATCACCACACATTCTCACCACAGGCCGTAACTAGATCTACGTTTGGAAATGGCGTGACTTTTCCATATTACTATATCCATAGAACCCAATATATATTACAAACCGTGGCCGGGTTGCCCGCGAGACCGGTGCTGCCTCGGGGCTATTACTCCCCAGGCATGCTAGTGCTTCAAGTCCTCCGTCACGAGAGGAGTGTCTTCCCGCTTAGTCTCCGGACCAGCCTTCTCGTTGTTGAACTGCTGCTGCTGCTGCTGCTGCTGCTGCTGCTCATTCTGCTGCTGCTGTTCCTCCTCCTCTTCACCGTCAACCCAGCTCTCTGCCTTCTCTAGCTGGTTGTTGAACACCGTGGTGAGGCGTCCAATCATGTTGAGAGACTCCTTGGCAAAGGTAACAATCTTGTCGTTCGTCTGCAGCGAGTTCGACGAGTTGTGTTGCACTTGGTTGGGCAAGTTAAGGATAATCTCACGGATGGTGGACTTGAGACGGATGTCTTCACTATCCTGGCCTTCGCCAACACCCTTGTCGGCAACAAGAGATGATGGACGGAAGTTCGATATGACATGAATAATCTTCTTCACAGTAGTGACAATCTCGGTCTGCGTCTCTTGTGGGTCAGCGAAATCCAGGCGAGCCAGAGACACTGCAGTCAACTCAGTATCCAGGCGAGACTCGGACAGTGGATCTGAGCGTGTGAAAGTGTGGGTATCATCGCCCTTCTCCTCCAGCTGAGGAGTGGAAAGTTGCTCTTGGTGGCGGTTGTCTGAAATTACTCTTTGCAAGCAGTTGACACGGTCATTAATCTGTCTGTTGGCAAGCTTCAAGATGTGCAAGCAGAACTTTAGCCTCTTCTTGGTCTCGGTCTTCTCTGTAGGCGTCACACGGCGCTTCTTCTCCCGCCTTGCTTCATGAAGACGGGCCTGGTGCATGCTGTTAAGGTTCACTTCAATCTTGCTGAAGACGGGCATGGCAGCCTTTTCGACAATACCAGCGGCATAGTTCAAGGAGGCATAGTTCTTCTTCAGGTCTTCGTAGTACTTGATGGCGTTGGTCACGATCGGATGCTTTGAGACTGCGCTCACCGACAGAACGATAGGATGCTGCTGGCGCTCCAAGTCCGCAAGGGATGTCGTTGACATTGGCAGGGCCACGGAGGACTCGCCTTCAGGGGCAGGCAGGTGTGCCAAGTTGGCCAAAACCTCAGCGGCTGAGACAGCGCTTTCGTCATTTTCGGAGTGGCCCATGTTGGGAGTTGTGGGAGAGTCTGCAACTGCCGCAACCTTGTAGGAAGGCTCCTGGTCGTAAGGAGGCGGGTCGGCGGGAAGCGAGTCCGACAACTTTCTCTTTCTGCCTTCAGTCATTTTGTCACACTGGTGAGGAGTTTTAATGTGGGAGTAGCGAGTTGATATAGATGAAATGCTGCGAGTGAGGCACATGTGAAAAGGCCGCGCAGAGGTGGGTGTGAGACTGGGGCATGTGAAAGCGAGGTGAGTCCTACGCCTGGCTGCTTAAGCAGGGTGCTCTCTTTTCACGCCAGGTGCCTGGCGTTTCTTGGTAAGCGCCGCTTTCATGTGAGACTTTTTCCACAACCTTATTCTTTATTTTCTTCACAACCTCTTCCACTTCGTCCGACTCTGGCGTTTCGTAAGATCCCACTGCATGGAGGGGGTTTCCCCACCACCCTGCAACTCAAAAATCCAACACCTCACCAGGTCATTTGCCCTGTCAAAAAAATACCCCCCGTTCGGACTTAAATCCCATGATCTTCGCAACCCACCGACACGACCCAAATTTCGCTTATCATGTTAACCGCTCAACAGCGAAATCGTGCCCCGCGGTGTTTGCAGCCATTCCTTGCCGCAGCCAGACATCTATTGTTACTGAGATCCTACTCCCAATTCAGCAGCATGCCCCACCAATATTATTCGGTGCGTGCTTTTACGAGAGCGCCTGGCCCGTAGAGTTTTTCTTCTTCTTCAAGCCGGCCCATCAGGATCCAGCCTCGGTTGGCAATGAATACCCTTCTGTATTTCTTTTTCGTGGCTGGATCGAGTCTGCACACTTCGGCGTAGGTGAGTTTTGGGGCCGCCGAAGAATTACTTGACAAACTTGGAACTTCTGGCTTTTTCTTTCTCTCAATGTAGTCCCGGAGAGCCTTTCTGCCTTCTTCAGAAGAAATGTCAAACGACGGTTTGGGTGATCCCAGGGTCAGGGCTGAGGCTGGTTTGGCTTCGGTATGTGCTGTAGCAGGGATAGTAAGCCCCGAGCCCGAAGGTGAGGCTGACTTCGGCACTTGAGGCCCGTTGGATGTGGTGATTGGGCAGAATCTGACAAATTTGGTGCTTTTCTTGCTGTCGGCCGGTGAATCCGTTGAGGCGTTTTTTGCACCCATTTGCACAGAACCGTGGAATTCGTGAGCAGTGTGCAAAAGGTCGTCCGATGAAAGCCCCAGGCTGGATTCTGCAAACCCGCTTGACCCACAGAATCCCAATTCTTTAACTCTCTTGTTCCTCTCTAACCCAACACTCAGCCCTCCCAGCAACTCGGCACTCAGAGCCAAGGCTACGGTTCTCGGCGGAACAATGGCAGCTCGGTTCCCGGAGCGATACATATATCCCTGTGTCTGGAGCGAGATCGCCTTCAAAGTGGCCACTGCCGTTTGAAGCTGGTGTTGTTGTTCGGGAGAAAACACATCATGGACATTGAGCGCTGAATCCACATCACCGTTGTTGATGGCACCGTTGTTGAGGGCACCGATGTCGAGAGCAAGGAGCTGATCCAACACCTGGTAGCCTTTTTCAAGCCGATTGATGTCAGCGTCCTTCTGGCGAATATCATTGAGTCGCTGGCGGGATCGTTCCCATCCAGAGGCAACGAGACATCCCAAGACGAAGGTAATGATGGTCCCAGTTGTTGGAAAATAAGGCAGAGCTGATTCTGACCAGGGGAGAGTTGGGGAAACTGGAGGCGAGAGGGTAGTCAAATTCGAAGGTTCCTCGGCTTCGAACGTGTTCAAAACCCAATTCTGGGAGCCTAGACCCTGAGCTGGCAGAAGAAGAGTGATGACCCTGTTCGTTGGAGAAAGTGGATTCGATAGGACGGTTGAATTAATGCCGACCCACGATAGAGGATTGAAGAGCATACCGGAGAAATAATAAAAAGAAGATGTGATTTTCTGGGAAAAAGGTGTGATTGTGAGGTGCCGCCTTTTGCAGCCAGGTGCCGAATGGAAGAGGCTGATTCGCACCTCGTCAGATAGGAGACACCCAAGAGACTATACTTCTGCCAGGCTGAAATTTGACGGAATTTGCAAAGTTTAAAGTTTACAAATCCTTATCTTTCGTTGCTATACCGAATTTCAGACCCACACTTCCATTTCCGTGACGTCGACTCAGCCAAGACGTTGCCACACCAGTGCCCCACATGTCGAGCCTCGCTCATGCTTGATCTGATAACATCCATCATCTCCACCTCCTTTTCAGCACAAGTCTGATATTATGTCCCAGGACAAAAACAACGCCCCAACAGTCCCCAACGGCTACACCGCCCGCTTTGACGACAACTACAAGCACTGGTATTTCGTGGACTTGAGCACGAAAAAGTCCCTGTGGGAGGCTCCCGAAGGCACCACCTGGGCCAAGAGTGACGACGTTGCTCCTCCTCCTTACAATCCCAGCGGATCCGGTGGAGGAAATGGCGACGCCAATCGCGCCCAGGCGTCTCCTCCAAACCAACAAATGGCTCCACAGGGTACAAATGCCGGTGGATTCCAGCAACAAGGTTATGGCGCCGGTCCCGGTGCTGGTCCTGGTCCTGGTCCCGGTGCTGGGCCTGGTCCCGGTCCCGGTGGCCCAGGCTACGGCGGATACCCACCTCAAGGTTACGGTGGCTACCCTCCTCAGCAAGGTTACGGGGGTTACCCTCCACAACCTGGTTATGGTGGCTACCCACCTCAGCAGGGATACTACCAACAGATGCCTCCTCAACAGCAGCAGCAGCAGCCACAAGGACGTCAAGGTTTTGGCGCCGGAGGTATGGCCCTCGGTGCCGGTGCCGGTATGTTGGGTGGTATGATGATGGGAAACGCCATCGCCAGCAGTCAGGCCAACGCATACGCCGACGGATACAACGACGGTAACATGAACGACGACTACGGTGGCGGTGGCGACTTTGACGGAGGTGACTTCTAGAGAAGCCGCTGAAAAGAATCCGAGGTAGCGGTACGTTAGATTTATTCCTTCTGGAATTGAGCTTATGTGCTGGGCCATTGTTCCTGCCTCCACTGTTACATAGAACTACAAGAAAAGTCTAATAGACATTTGTTTCATTTTTTTTTAGGCGTAGCTGGAGAATGATTAGCCACAGAATGGTAATGAATGAATTGGTTGCAAATGAGATATTTGGAGGACTCTCTTCTTCAAGTGTCTTACATTCAACCTACTGACTGAATCCACATTGCCTTTCGGCCGGCCAAGTTTGCATGACAAAGCAACTTCTGATTTTGAGTGATTCAGAAGAATAACCTTTATTCCAACTCCGAAGCTGTCGGCTTGTCATTAATTTCACTACTGGCATTTGCAACCGTTAACTACATGCGAGCCTATTGAGACTTGCATTGACAAGAAAGTACAGCAAATTGAGATCTCGAAAACAGAAAGCATCAATAGAAGTGGAAACATTTCGATACAAAACACTATTAAACGAAAATAAAAAGACTTTTGTCTAACATGGGTCCCATGGCTTCCGTAGGCTATCCTCCACACCCGTGCACCGCGACTCAACCAACCAAAAGACATTTTTTTCTATTACGCTTGAGCATCTTGAGCACTACAAACATGAAATTCACCAGAGTGTTGAGACAAGCCGAGGAGGTTCTCGTCAAGGCCGCCTCTGGCTACCCTACGGGTTTGGCCGGTTTGTACCAGCACCCCAACCCAAGACCAGCATTGATTTCCCTCTACAACCACACCTTGAGCTACCTTGGGAACAACTTCCCAGAGCACTCCGTGTACAGACAGTCTGTGGAGGCCATGACCAAGAACAGATTGAAGATCGTCGAGGAGAACGAGATCAACGAAGTCATTGAGAACAAGATCGGTGGTGGTTTGATTGAAGAGATCGTGGTGCAGGCTAGTGAAGAGCTCCACTTGGCTAGAGAGTTGTCCAAGTTGAAGGTCTGGGAAGAGTTGGAGGAGAAGCCATTGGAGGACCAGTGGACGTACTTTGGTAGAAAGATCAACCAATAGGCAGAGAGTATATACGACAGGGCTAATGTAAAATAAGTATCATTTATCCAACACGTACGCTATAAAGCAGAATTAGTGCCGGCTCCCAAAGTCATGATGGGGGCAGGGCTAGTAGATTGAGCGGCCGCTCAACAGCAGTTGTTCTTCACGCTGTTGGTGGTCAGTGAGACGTTAATACCTGAGCTGCCCTGTTGAGGCTCCTCGTCAACGGTCTTCTCCTGGATGATGCCAGCCAACTCGTAGAAGATAGCCTCCACGTTCTCGTTGGTCTTGGCACTGGCCTCCAAGAAGGGAATCTTCAATTTGGAAGCCAACTCCTCACCCTGCTCTCTGGACACCTGTCTGTTTTCCTGGTCGTCACTCTTGTTACCAACCAAGAAGATCTGGGCGTTCTCATTGGCATGAGGAGTAACGGTGTTGAACCAGTTCTCGACGTTCTCGAAAGTCCTGGCGTCGGTGACATCGTAAATCAACACAATACCACGGGCGCCTCTATAGTAAGAGGTGGTGATGGTACGGAAACGCTCCTGGCCAGCGGTGTCCCAAACTTGCAACTTGATCTTCTTGCCTTTGCTCTCAATGGTTCTGATCTTGAAGTCAATGCCGATCGTGGTAATGAAGGAAGGGTTGAACTTGTCTTCAACAAAACGCAACAACAAACACGACTTTCCAACTCCGGAGTCGCCAATAAGCAACAACTTCATGATCATGTCGTATGACCTAGATGGCGCTTTATCACTCATGATGGCTGGCTGTTTCTGTGGGTTCGATAGGGGTTGAGCAACCTACGGCGGCGTGGTTGATGGGGATTGAAATTGGAACTTTGGGTTACCTCACAAGTCTGTGGAAGAAGGCTGCTGTAAAGTTACCTCCGATTTGAATGACTAGCACTGAAATGGCCTTTAGTGGTTGTCCCGGTTTGACTTCAATATGCGACAGGTGCACGGAGCCGGTCGTGCCAGCGTAGTATATGTACTGCAGGAAGGAGCACAAGTGGACACCGGGTAGACAACAATAGACGGTGAATGGATCCGGAAAATTCAATTTTCTATGTAATTGCCGATCTTCTCATCTTGCAAATACTAGTGACTTTTTGTGTTGGTTGGGGAAAACCAAAGGGGTGCTTTATGCTGGACGTTGCTCGTATAGCATGGCTGCGTCACAGCCAGATGACCACATTCAGAGACACATAAAGCATACTACCAATTGGGTCAATCTGCAACTGCACTATGTTTATCGGATTTGACAAAACACGTATAGTCTGTCTAGGTGATCCGTTTATCAATTCCTTTTGATGACAATTTTTGACCTGTTACCTTTTCTACACGTAGTGTCTATGACAGTATCTTTATAACGGTCTAATTACAAGAAGACCTCGGCATTAATCTCGACCGACGAGGCGGCATATGGGATCTCAAAGTGGCCCAAAACTTCAGGATGCAACACACCAATGGCACCGATGTGTTGAGGCTCAGCTCCCTCGCTAACTCTGAAGAAGATCTTGGCACCTCTTCCTGGGAAGAAGGTAGGGTTGGAGTCGTCCTGCTCAATCCAGTACCCTCTGGACTTGTTCTCCTGTGGCTTTTCTATCCATGGGGTTCTCACTGTTTGCATGATCTTACCCAACAAACCCTGGACAAACTCGAAACCAGAGGTCTTACCAGCGTAGATGGCACTCCAGTTTCTTTGGTTGAAGGCTCTTCTCTCCAATTTGTCGTCCTTCAAAACAATGTCACCACACTCGAAAACCTTGATAGGCAAAGAGTGTTTTCTGTTCTCCTTAATAGTTTTAAGAATACCTGGAAGCAAGGTAGTTCTGACAACTTGGTACTCAAAAGTCTTGGGGTTCTCCAACTTGACCGCCGTCTGGCCGTCGTCTTGAAGTCTCAAGAACTTGAAGTTTTCATCATGCGAGCACAACGTCAAGGGCAACACCTCCAAGTAACCCGATTGAGAGGAAGCAAGTCTGAGAATGTCGGCAACCTTGTTGATTGGCAATGGAGCAGCGACCAAGGAATCACTCTGGGGCTTGGTCTTCTTCAAACTGTTGTAGCCGTAGCCAATTGCAGCATCTTCCATGATGTCACATTGATGCAAAATGTCACTTCTGGTGATTGGGATCTTGACGTCAAGAGTTTTGTCGTCAGCGGGCTTGGCCTGCAAGGACATCTTCTTCAACAACTTGGAAATTTCCTCACCGGAGTAGTCCAAGCCCAAGCACGAGTTGATGTAGGGCACCTCAGCCTTGAAAGGTCTAGGAGTAACATTAGGGCTGACTCTGTCCTGCTTGTTGTGCGAGGAGTTGATTTGAACTGGCTCGATGACGAATGGCTTCTTGCAGTGACCAGAGAACATGGCGACCATCTGCTCAATGACAATGTCAGTCTTGGTCTTGTCAGTACCGGTGACCTCAATGAACACGTTTTTCGTATTGAGGGAGATCTTGGAGTGGTTGGAGTTGATGATAGGTGGCAAGGAGCAGACAGTTCTCTTGGAGTCGTAAATGACTGGGTAAACAGGCGAGTCTCTGATGATGTGCAAATACTTACCCAAGTTCTTGTCCTTGTCGTAGAATTCCATCAACTCTTCACCGTTCATAACCTTCTCCTGGTTCAAAGGAGCGAACTGAATGTCTTTAGGAGGCAAAGCCTGGTAGACGAATGGTGGGGTCAAAGTGTCCAAGTCGTGAGTTCCGATAGCGACCAAAGTTCTGTTACGGCACAAGTTTGTGTGCAATTTGTCCTGCAAAGCAATGAAAGAGGCGTACTTTCTCTCGTCGAACTCAACATCTCTCAAGACGGCAGCAGCAGCATAAGGTCTGATCTGCTGGGTGGACTCCTCAATTGTCATGCTGATCTCCGGCTTAGAAGGCTCCAAAACGTAGTTGGGGGCTTCTTTTCTACCCAAAAACTCATTAAGAGCCTGAGCAATACCCTCAATACACAACATATCATATCTGTTGGCTGGAACCTCAATCTTCAACTGAGGTCTCTCACCTTCGGCACAATCATCTGTGGTGTCCTCGTCCAACTCGAGGCCGAAGTCGAAACACAACTCATCAAATTCCTCAGTAGTGTACTCTTTGCCTAGAAGCTCGTAAAGATCGGCTTTGTCACAAGGTATAGTAGGCATTCTGGTGAAATTTCGTGAAGCTCGGTGCACCTCTAAATTTTTTTGAACTCAGAGTGAGTAGTACAGGTCTGAAAATTACGCGCTAAATGAGTCAGGCTGCCACATTGGTCTATCAAATGCAATTCTGTAGCTATATCTATGTTTCCTTATTCTCTTTGCTAAGTGGATTTGGGATCTTGGTTTTGAGATTTTGGAACATGGATGTAGGTTCTTTCTCCAACTCCACATCCTCGTTCATCTTCACCTCTCTCTGCGAAAGATCAACATCCTGACGGACTTTCTTGAGCTGCTCAGAGTCTTGTTCACCAATCTTCTCGATATCGTTTATCTCTTCTGCCAAAGCGCTAATGTCAAAGATCGGCTCAGCAGATTCCGGTTCCGTTTCTCCACGTCTAAGCGTACCGGTGGTTTGGCCGGAGTTCTCATCGTACTCCTCAAATTCGTCAGCCTTCTTCTCTTCTTCCTGCTTGGTGGCTTCATCATAAACTCCCCACCAGTTCTTCTGCTTTGGCTTGAACCAGCTCTTCCACGACTTCTGCTCCTTCTGAGCTTCCTCCATCTTCTCCTTCTCCATCTTCGCTCTAGCTTCGTCAAACTCAGTAATAAGTTGTCTTTGTCTTTCACCCTGCTCTGGATCGGGCTCTTCAATTTCAGCAAACTCGTCACTCAAGACTTCCCAATTCATCAAACGCAAGATTTTGGGAACTGCTTTTCTGTATGACATATGGCCCTCCACAAGCTCAGTACAATCGAAGTTCTCCACATCAGGAATGTTTTCAATCGGTGAAAGTCCTGCAACAGTCAGTAGACCT